GGGGGGGGGGGGGGGGGGGTTCAGCTCCAGCAGCAAGACGAAGGCAGCACCTCCCTTCCCGGTTCTCCGTTGACGTCAACTCCTCTTTGTCATGTCATCCTTGGAAGCGCAGGGGCCATGCTAATCTTCATTCTCTGTATCGTTCCAATTTTAACGGATGTCCCGAAGGACGCCTCTTCGGAGCCCGAGCGAACCAACCTCGTAGAGACTCGAAAGTGCCACGTGTCATCATCTCATCGATCGCTGAGCCGCCGAAGTGCCACGTGTCAGCTCGTCATCGGCGGAACAACGACAATGCAATGGGGCTGCCATTGCCCGGTTCTCGATCAGCTCGTCGGTTTCATCCTCTGGGACCTGGCCCCGCTACTCACCAAATGTACAGAAGGTACAAAAAAAAGGGGGCAAATTTGCATCTGTACCCCACTTAAAGATGGGAATACCTGCCATACCCCAAGTCCCAGTGCGACTTTGCATCTATACCCGGATCCCGTTCAATTTTGCATAACATGTGCAAAATTGCAGGCCTACCCCCTCCTTCAGGCCCTGGGTTCTAGACCACGACGAAATTCTGCTCATGCCCACACCAGGGGCGAGGTCCCACTAGCAGAGAGGATTGGATTAAGCTCCTGCATTTGGACGTGTTTTGCGAAGAGATGCAGAAAAGCAGTTGAATCTCGATTTTCTGCATCTTTGCACGCACTCGTCTAGATTCACGCGCTCAATCCAACTCTCTTTGCTAGTGGGACCTAGCCCCAGAAATGATTTTGGGACCTGCGTTACTTTTCGGATACACAGGTTTCGTCGCGGGGGGGAGGTTTTATGACTTTTCCCAAACCATGCTGGCAAAATTGTGGGTGTCCCCACCCCGAGTGGGCGGCCTTGGGTGCTGAGCACGAGATTTATGCTCATGCCCACCAAGAGTGGGGAGCCTTCTACCCCCCCCCCCCCCCCAAAATATAAAAAAGGGCCTGCGGTGGCTGACCTCAACATTATTGGTCTTTTACAAAAAAGCATGTTTATTTAAAGCCGGGAAAAGGGCCTTTCCCGGCGTGCCTTACAAAAGTTAATCAGTGGGCCCCCCTCGGAGAAAGCCATCATCGGCCTAAGTCAGAGGGGGCCCACCAGGACAACTTCGCGGTGTACAACAAAAATTCCTACTTTCCACATTTTCCTAGAGAATGTACAACAATTCCTTTTTTTTTCTTTTCTTTTCTTTTCTTTTTTTCAATTCCTACTTGTCACATTTTACTTTTACCTAGAGATTGTACACGACCCAAGCAATGAAGTAAAATTGGAATTTCCAACAAAAAAAAAAAAAAAAAAAAAA